AGGACAGCATACTGGTGAGTTCTGACCACCCCGGGCTAGAGCTGGGCCTGGAAGCTCACAGGACTGCCTGAGTGCACAGGCCAAGGCTGACCAAGCTGGGTCTGGCCCAGAAACCCCTCCCTTGTGGGCTGGAGGTATTTGCTTCCTGCTGAAGGTCGGGGTTTCCTCAGGCCCAGGAGACAGTGGACATCATCACCAAGAGGGGCACACTTACCCTAACCCTTCTGGGCACCGGTGTTGCTTCCATGATCGTCTGCTCCATCGAAGGGGACGTCTTCAACATGGGCTATGTGCTAGCCAGGGAATCGCTGTCCTCCACCTTCAAGGTGAAGGGTACTCAGGCCAGGCTGGGGAGCGGGGAGGTGTCAGCTGGACCTTGAGAGGAGTGGGCTGGTGGAGGACAAGCTGCCTCCAGCAGAGGAAAGCCAGGGAATGGAAAACCTAAGAATGTGGCATCTGGCCCCTTTTTCCCCAACTCCTCTGTGTTGTTCCCTGGACCCTCTTCTTCAAGCCCCCCTCCCTCCATTCTGCTTTGCCGCTTGGCTTGTAAACTACCCCCTGGAGTTTAACTCAGGCAAAGCTATGGTAGGAAGGACTCTCCATGTGAGGTCACTTCATCCCTGGGGACACACACACACACACACACACACACACACGGCACTGACAGTTTCATGAGGGGCCTTTCCATGGGAGAGAAGTCAGGCAGAGAGATGTGAAAAGATGCCAGAAGATGTGAGTGCTGGGACTTTTTACATCCAGTAATAGCACCATCTCCTGAACCCAAGGTAGTCAGTCAGGGTCCCAGCCCCATTCTCCTGTCCCCCACCATCACCCCTATACAGCTAGAGAACTACTCCATGCTCCCCATCAAGTTCTCCATGCGGCTGGACAGCTTGTCCAGCAAGTGGAGGGAGGACTTGCAGCAGCTGCCACGATACCTTGTCTCCCCAAAGCAGAGGACTGAAGTGGTCGGTGAGTTCACTGTCAGGGCCTGGGGGCGGGGCATGGGATGGGCAGCGGGGAGGAAGTGGGTCCCCCCCCAAAGGACCAGACAGGTATGGATAAGGGGAGAGAGAGAAAGAGAGAGGGGAATGGGAGGGGGAAGATAGGAGGGGAAGGAGGGGGAGGGGAGGGATGGCAAAGGGGAGGGCGGGGGGGGGGGGAGAGAGAGACCGCCCACAGACAGCGGACTGGTGGTCGTGCACAGATCAGAGGACTGGTGGACTGGTGGATAGTGTCAAGCAAGTGGGAAGTCAGACCAGACCAGGCAGGAAGGACAGGGGACTACCGGGTGCAGATGGAGGTTGGAGGAAGCAAAGCGAGAGAGCAGAGAGATCACAAGCCTAAGCCGTGAGCATCGTGAGGCCGGAGTGGACAGGCGTAGGGTGACCACGCTGGCCGGGAGCTAGGCTGCCGAGGGGCCCGACGGGGCGTGTCAGGCGCTAGGGGTCGCCCTCTGGTCTCACACACAGCGCTGCCCGCAGGCACGCAAAACCTGAACGGGCTGAGCGTGTTCAGCGTGATGCCGGTAGAGGGCGTCATCGAGCCCGGGAAGGCGCAGGACTTCACCGTGACCTTCAGCCCGGACCACGAGAGCCTGTACTTCTCCGACAGGCTCCAGGTGGTGCTCTTTGACAAGGTGCGCCCCCCCCCCGTCCACGCTGGGAGATGATTTCCCCCCCCCGACCCCCCGACCCCCGCCTTTCAGAGGCTCTCTCCACCTCACCCTGCACACTCCAGGCTAGAGTCATTAGGGTGCAGTTTCCTGTACCCCAAGACCTACACTGATTGTCTCACCAGTCCTCTCTGCTCAACCTCAGCCAGAGACACGGCTGCCTCCTTTCTCCCTAGACAGTGTCCCATCAGATCCTTCTGAAGGGTGCAGCCCGGGAGCACATGATGTTTGTGGAGGGCGGGGACCCGCTGGATGTGCCGGTGGAGTCTCTGACTGTGATCCCTACCTTAGACCAGGAACACAAAGAGGGTGAGCACCCTGAAAGAGGATGACATACACCCTACCTCTTACCCCCTATCCCTGCACTCTACCCCACAACTCAAAACAATGCATATGGCCTCAACCAGGGCTCCCCACCCCCTCACCCCATTTAAGAGGCTGAGGAGCTGAAATCCATCCTGGTGACTCTGGAGTACCTGCAGCTGGACACCAACATACCTGCACCTCCTGCCACCCGTGAGCTGCAGGTGGGCTGCATCCGAACCTCCCAGCTGTCTGCGAAGAAGGTGACAGCCCCTCTGCCCTGGTAGCATCACTATGACCTGGGAGCCCCCAGTCTTGCCCCCCCAACCCGGCCTTGGCTGTCACATCCTGCAGCATGTTTGGGAAAGGTAGTCCGTTGGTCACAGCTGAAAGGTGGGTGGACCCCTGCAATGGGGGCCCCATTGCCCCCACCCCACCATCCCCCCTGCGCTGCCCTACAGAGTGTGGAGTTCAGTCTGGACAACGTGGCCGCCCTACAGCACAAAGGCTTCACTGTGGAGCCCTCCCGCGGCATTGTGGAGCGAGGCCAGACCAAGACCATCAGCATCTCATGGACGCCCACTGCCGACTTTGACGTAAGCTGGGGGTCTGTCCTGGCCCTGGGTCTGAGAACCCAAGCAGTCAGCAGGCAGGAATCAGGGTGCCCCCCTGCCACACTCAGGGATGGACAGAGTTGGGGTCCCTGGACAGGGAGAGGTGGACAATGCCTGAGGTGCCCAGCAGCTGAGAGTCCCTATTCCTCCCCTTTTCCAGCCAGACCACCCACTGATGGTATCAGCCTTGCTGGTGCTCCGGGGGGACGTGAAGGAAACCTACAAGGTCCTCTTGGTGGTCCACGTGGTGACCGGACCCTGAGGCACAGAATTTGATGCACTGAACCCCTCTCATCTCTCTTGAGGCCCTCTCCCTGGGCCATAAGCCAAGCTGAGCCTCCCTGGGACCCGGTTATCCTCTGTTGGGCCAGCCCAAATAGGCAAGGCAGCCCTCAGCACGGCACCTTGTCCAGGAACTCAGCCCCAGACTGGTCCACTACTGCAGACTCTGGGCTGACCTGGACCAGCAAACCCAGAGTCTCACCCTACCCAAACCCCCAGCCCATGTCAGCACCAAAATGTAACTCCAAACCCTTATGGCCAGCCCTGCTCTGCCCTAAGGGGCCACAAAAGAAAATCAATAAACTTATAAACCACCACAATTTGAAGCAACTGAAGTCATTCAAAATGACTGTAGTAGTGGGTGCAGAATCCCTGGATTTCCTCATGAGGTATAAGATTCTCCCTCAAAACACCAAAGGTCAGGAACACACCCTCCCTCAGGTTCTCACCCCAGGCCCAGCCACAGCCCAGGCAGAGGCTCCCACTCCAGGGAAGCACTTTGAGCTCAGAGAGGGGTGCATACTTGCTGCACCCCCATAGGCTCTGGACTCAGAGGGTGGCGGGCATAGGCCAAAAGAACCATAGCTCCCCATCCCACCCCATGCAACCCCCAGAGCCTGCACAATCTTCCCTGCAGGTGTGGAGTTAAGTGGCATCTGGGGCCTTTGGGGGACCACTTTTCAGGCCTCAGAGACACCAGTCCTCCCTTTCTATCCAGCAAGAGGACTTTGGGCGTCGCTCTGACTCTCGATGATGACTTTGGGACCTGAGATCGGTGGCCTTGATCCTGGAGTAGTGTAGGAAGACTGTGGGCCAATGGTTGAGCTTTGGACGTGACAGGTCCCTTGCTGTCCCCCAAGAGTCCTTCCTCACCTAGGCAAGGTGCCCCAGGGGGTGTTGTCCCCACCTCTGGCCAGCCACGCTCCTGCTTGAGGACAGATTCCCTTTCCTGACTGGCGCCCTCTGCTGGCACTGCCGGCTCCTCCGTCCTTCCCAAGGCTGGTTCTCAGGCTCCAGCTCGGTTCAGACAGGAGGTTAAGGAGGGGAGGCCAGGTGGCAGGAAGCCTGCCGGGGAGAGGGTGGGAGGGGTGTGTTTGGGGGCAGCGAAAGGCAAAGTGAGGCCAAAAAAAAGGGAAGTGACTGGCAAGTGGTGATACTAACAGGGGACAAAGGAGAGAAGGTTCCGAATAGGAAGGACACTTCTCTTCCTGCGCAGGGCTGGGTACCTACCCCTCCCGACATCCTCAGATAAGATTTGCCCACCTAGCGGTACTGCTGGCCTCTTCCTTAGCCTAACCAGGATACACTGTGACCAGAATCCCAAAAACGTGTGCGGACAGGGGAGCTGACAGCAGACTCCCAAGAGAAGAATGAAGGGGGGATCCGAGAAAAGGGGAGGCTCATGTGGCTTCCAGCCTAAATGGGATCCTGGACCCCAGGGGCTGGATCTTCAGCCACCACCTATTGTGCGTTGGCTGCGCCCTGCAGCAAAAACAGGAGACTCTTCAGCCTTCATGGAACCACAGCGTTAGGAACGTTCAAGCTCTTTTTAGTAGTGTAACACATTTATCCTCTCCACCCACCTCAAGACTGGTCCAGTGGGGGGGAGTGGGGCGGGAGAAAAATGCAACAATGAATGAATGGAATTCCAAAATCTCTGTAGAAATTGAAATTAATAATAATAATTTTTAAAAGTAATTTAAAAAACAAGAAAAAAAAAGACTGGTCCTATTGGCACATGGGCGCACCAAGGCTGGACTGGAGCTGCGAGAGACCGCGGTGCTGGGCGGGGCCCCGGAGCGAGGTCTCCGTGGGTGGAACTTACAGGGGCGGGGACTTCTCTGGGCGGGGCCTCAGGAACAGGTTTTCTATTGGGCAGAGCCTCTGGGCCTCGGCCCTCTAGAGGCCGTCGTTGGGTGGGGTCTCTGGGCAGGGACTACGTTGGGCAGAGCCTCCATTGGGCAGAGCCTCGGTGGAGTGAAACCATAGGTCAGCGAAGACCCTAGGGAAGGGCCTGGTGGGCGGGATCTTCGGGAGGGACACCCCCCCTGCAGAGGGCGGGGCTCCCAGGCGGGACCTCAATAAAGCTGCACGTACACCGCCCCTCCTGCCCGCTGTCCTGGAGGATGGCCCTGGGTGCACCGGTCCCTCTCGAGCTCCTACTGCTCCTACCGCTCTGGCCACTGCCGCAGGTGGGTCGGGCTGCACCTGGGCTTGGTCCCCGAGGAGCGGGTCTGCACTTGGGCTGGGCCCCCCCCCCGGCTCATCGTTGTCCCCACAGGTGGCGTTGGGCTTCACGGACAGCAGCTGCGACAACTCGGACCAGTAAGTCTGGGGGAGGGTCCAGGCGTCCGGGCTGTGCTGGCTCCGCCTGTGGGAGGGGTCGGGCGATGAGGTCGGAGCCCGGTGCTCCGCCTGCTCCAGGTGCCGCCGTCCCCGCAGGTGCCCGCCCCAGGCCCGCTGGAGCAGCCTGTGGCACGTGGGGTAAGTGCAGGCGCGGAGTCGCTGATCCACCACGAGGGCGGCCAGGGTGGGGAGGGACCCCCACCAAGCTAAACCGCCTTCCCTAGCCCCTGCTCTGGTCCCAGGCTGTGACAGCACTGCCCTCTCAACAGTGCCAGCACCAAGATGACCTCAGAGCCACCGCCATAGCCTCCCATTGGAAACAAACTGTGGGTGGTTAGGGTATGAGTCCTGCCCTCCGTGCAGGCCCAAACCCTCTTTCCCTGTAGCCTCTTACCCTTTCCTGTGCTCCTCTTTTGCCCCTTCTGGAGGTCCCTGTCCTCAGTCATCTGGGCACACGCACTGTGCAAGCTACTGGGGACACTATGTCCTGGGAGTCAGCCCAAGGCCGCCCCTGGCCAGCCCTGGAGAGACAGCCGGATGGGCCCAGCCCAGGAGGCCCAGTGGGCTCCTTGGGCAACTCAGCCAGGGTGAAGGTCCCCAGGCTGGGAAGACACTCTCTACTTCTTTCTACTTCTGTTGTTTGTCTTCTCCTGGGCTGCGTGGCCGTGCCTAGCCCAGGGAGCAGAGGCCAGTGGCCGTGGTCAGCCCAGTGGCAGGGCCTTGCTCCTCTCACCAGGCTCATCCTGCTTGCGGTCCTCCTGCTGCTGCTGTGCGCAGTGACAGCCAGCTGTGTCCGGTTCTGCTGCCTTCGGAAACAGGCCCAAGCCCAGCCACACCTGCTGCCACCAAGGCAGTCCTGTGACCTGACAATCATCCCCGTGGACAGCGACAGCCCTGTGCACAGCACAGTGACATGTGAGTGCTCACAGACCTGGCCTGCCTGTGAGGGAAGCGGATGAGGGATGACCCTTCCCCTGACTCACTCCCTTCTTGTTCCCACAGCCTATAGCTCTGTGCAGTACCCACTGGTTATGAGGCTGCCTATGCCCTTCGGGGATCTGGACTCTGATACCATGTCCCCACCTGCCTACAGCCTGTATGTCCTGGACCTGCCACCCTCTTATGAGGAGGCAGTAAAGACTGTCAAGCCCAGCCAGCAAGATCCAGTGTCCTCCCTGAGGTCTAGCCACCCAGAGTCAGCCTCCTCCGGGAGGCCCAACCCCTTCCCTGGGGCCTCAAGCCCAGAGGCCACTCCAGAGCCCCAGGAGCCAGCCCCCAGTGACCAGGACCCCCAGCTGTAGCCCTGGTGTCACCATAAGAGTCTTCAGACTGGAAGTCTTCACACTGCTTCCTGTCACCTCAAGGAGCTGGGCACACAGGGACTTGGCGACTTGACCCCAGCGGGTCCTCACCATCTTCCCCTGGGAAGGCCAGCATCCAGCACATTGCTGCAGCCCAACTTCGTTGCTATGTAACAGCCAGAGAGGAGACGTCTGCTCACCCCACCTCGGGCAGGCAGCTGCTCCAGCCCAGCCCCTAGCTACCCGGGCAGGCCTGAGCCCAGAAGGATACTGTCAGCTGTGACGACTGCAGCTTTTCAGAAAGAGAATAAAGTTTGGATTTAAGTGGCCACTACCAGTGTGGAGAAGGCTTGGTGGGTTCGGAAGCGCCAGCAAGCCGTGGCTCTTCCTGGCCCATGCACAGCTAGGCCTGGAAGGTGGGGTCCCACAGGCAGCAAATAGACGGAGCCGCCACCCAGGCGCCAAGAAAGCAGCCACCCAGATGAGGGAAGTGGTGTCCAGTGTCTGAGCAGAAATGATCCTGCCCAAGCACACTAGAATGACTGGGCAGGAAAGTCTGCCCTCCCAAGACCGTCCCCGTAGCCACCACGCCTCCTGCCCTGGACAGAGAGATGCACCCAAGAGTCAGAACAGGCGTTTTATTGGACACTGACACCAAGCTGGTGGGGGTGGGGAGGGCGGTGGCATGCAGCTGCCCACAACGTGGCAGCTGCTCCTATTGGACCAGCTTGAAGGACTCTCCGGTCATCATAGCCACAAACTCTGGGGAAGGCAGGGCAAAGGAACAGGTCAGCTGCTGCCTGCACGGCCCGGCTGTGGGGTCTCACCCATCTCCTGCCGATATCCCAGCTCACCCTCGTAGTCAATGGTCCCATCCCCATCTTTGTCAGCTTCCTTCATCATCTGCTCAGCCTCCACCTCATTGAGGGGCTCACCAGCGTTCATAAGCACATACCTGCCAGACATCCAGCACCTCACTGCTTTGAGCTGAGCTTTGGTGGACTGGTCCAGGGATGCATTCACCCAGCCCTCCCAAGCCCTCCCAACCAGCCCTCCATGCAGCCCTCCCCCTGTCACCCACGGGATCATACTTGAGCGTGTTCCACTCAATGTAGCCCTTCCCCTCCTTGTCAAAGACTTTGAAGGCTGCCCTCAGCTCGCCCTCTTGGTTCTGGGCTTTCTCATGGTAAATGCCCATCAGCGCCAAGAAGCCATCACAGTTGAAGAACCCCTTGTCTGCAAGGAATCGAGTGAGAGACAAGTCAGGTCCCATTCTCCCACATCCTCACACATGTTCTCATCTTTCATCACTTCACACATACGTGCCCCCACCAGCCTCCTACCCACCCCAGCACCCTGGCCTCACTATCTCTGTCCACGTCCTTGGCCATGGAGGCCAGCTCGCTCTTGGTGGGGTTGATGCCCAGGAGACTCATGAGCCGCTCCAACTCGCCCGTCTTCACCTCTCCGTTGCCCTCCTCATCGAACATCTCGAAAACCCCCTTGTACTCCTTGATCTGTTCAGCTGTCAAGCGTTCCGCCTGTGGGGCACATGCTGACCCCCTCATCAGGGGCTCCAGGGCCCCAGTCAGATCTCAGCCCTCCTCTGTCCACAGGAGGGTTGGGGTCCTTGGCGACGTAATGCAAGGCACCTTTCCATTGTCTATCCACTTGGAAACCCTCAGTAAGGGCCTATGACTCAAAAAAAAAAAAGGCCCCAGCCCTGGCAGGGCCCATGCACCCCTCCAGGGCCAAGGGGCCCCAGCAGTATTAAGGGTCAGCAGAACCACCAGGCAGTTGAAAGGAGAAAAGAAATTTAAGCAGAAGCCAGGTATGGGGAGCCAGGTGTGGAAGGATCAGGTGTTGGGGACCTGGTGTGGAAGGGTCAGGACACAGGTCTGTGATATGAGGGAGCAATGGGGCTGGAAGGGCAAGTGAGCCAAACCATTGGGTCAAGGTAATGGAGCCAATTGAGAGTAGAGAATGGCTACCTTGGATTAGCTCAGAGACAGCCCAGCCCCGAGCCAAGGCAAAGGTGCCAGGGGAAGGGGGCAGGCTCCAGAGCCTAGGATCTGGCCATCCCTGCCCGCTACTACTACCACTGAAACAGATCACGGGACCGGTTCAGAAAGGACAGTTCCACCCCAGCCAGCAATCATAGGCCACACAGGGTTCTCAGGACCATCTCCCCACCTCCACACCTTGGTCCCTTCCCTTGGCCTAAAGCCCTATCTTCAGCCCTCCTCCACCTCCCTGGCCCCATGCGATCCCATCTCTGACTCAGATCACAACCCAACCTCTCAGATATTCTGGGACCTGATGGGGCCTTACCATGGCTGTAGCTGTTCTAGGACCCTGCAGGGCTGGTGGCTCAGAACTGCTGTGGGCAGAACATGCAGGCAAGGGGTGGCTGTGGGGTTTTAGCTGGGCCTGGATGTCTGGGGTCCCTAGGGTCTGAATTCCAAAAGCCTTTTATGGCCGGGGAGATCCTGTGGCCCTATTTTGGGATGAGCTCAGCCCCTCCCCATGGAGCCTCTTCCTGGCTGTCCTCAGCTTAGGCATGCCCTGGTCCCCAAACTCTCCCTAGGACCCTGGGCCTCAGTCAAGGCTTGTTGTCACTGCTCATGCCTCAGCCCACCTGGGGGTCTGAGCAGAACAGATGGTCTGGGCACCAAGAGCTGGCTCAGAGCAGAGGGCAGGGAGAGGGACAGGGGTGTTTCTCACATGGCTATTTCCTCTTTACTGAGTCATCACTCATCTGACTCTATTTCCCTGGAAATATCCCCTCCCCCCATTCAGCTGCAGGACTCCAGCACGGTCTGCCATTGCTTGTTCACGAGATTTCTTGATGGAGATCCATTCTGACCAAGTGGACTCTCATGTCCCCAGGTCCCAGCGCCCACCTGTGCTAGTCCACTGCAGGAAGGCTAGGCACCTACAGCCTTGAAGATGTCAGAGCTGGGCTTTGGCTGGGGCCGGAAGAGACAGACAGAGCTGGGGCCAGGCCAGCTCCCTAGGCAATCCGACTATTCTGGGGGTTTGCGGGGAAACCTGACCACCTCACTGAAGGCCACACGTCCATACATGTGGGCTCAGGCTCCTTCAGACACACATACACTGACATAATGTGGACTTGCTCTCATGCACACACATACATGCACAAACACAACAACCACGTCCCTGTCTGCATCTAACGTGACAGACAGCTCTGATGGGAACCTTGGGCTCTCCACACTGTCATCAGGTCCTTCCTGTCCTCTGCGGGCTGTGGATATAAAGCCTGCTGGGCTGGCCAAGGTGATTGGCAGTTTGAGTGTGCAAGTCAGGGCACTTGTGAGAAACTGGGCATTTCTTTTATTTGCACCTGCTCCCCATCCAACATAGTCACAGCTCAGGAACCCACCTAGTTCCCTTCAACTCTGTGTGTGGCTCCTACACACACACACACACACACACACACACTGTGAACCAACACTCAGAAGGCACATAACTGCCTGACAAGTCTGAGCAGGTGAAGAGCCTGGTGTCCCCGCCAGCCCTATTCCTGGCCTGCCAAAATCCACAGCATGGGGACACTTCCCGCTGAGGCCGGGGCCAGCTGCTGAAGTCGCAAGAATTGTGCTGACAGATGCAGGGAGTGAGATCCAAAAGGAGCCAAGGCTTGGGCCAGGAGCATCTCCATCCTGGTCATTCCCTGCTGTGTAAGAACTGGAACAGGGGCCAGTTCAAGGGGTCCCTTCTATGAGCCCAGTCCTCCCTGGCCCTGGTTCAGCCATCCTGCACCGAACATGTTTGCATGGAACATGGCTCTGGAAGGTCATAGCGTGCACAGCAAGGTCACTCTGGCTGCCTTGTCTCAGGACTCTCAAAGAACGTGGAAGGCCACCTGGAGCTACAGAGACATGGGGATAGTTTTGACTGCGATATTGGCAGCTTCACCACCATGATTTCCTTTACATGTTCTTCAAAACACAACGGGTGGGAGGCGAGGGCTCAGCTCACTCTCTGCCTAGACCTTTGTCTTGCAGTATTTCTGGTTCCAGATGTCCACGTGGCCTTGAGATTCAGAAACAAAATTGTGCTTCCTGGAACCCAAGTTAGAGTAAGGCAGACCTCCAAATCCTCATGCTTCAGAGGGGCAAGATGCAAAGGTGGCCTCACTACTTAGCAATAATAGACTCCTAGATGGGATGTAAAGTCCTCACTGCTTTCTCTCAGAAATCCCAAAACATTGAGCATAGCAATTGGAAGCCAATTAGCATTTTGGTGCAACAGGATGATGTCTGTCACCCTAAACTCAGCAAGTTACGAGCACTGAAGGGATGGGGAGGAGTCACATGATTGGAGGGAGAACCCTAAGATCTGCAAAAAGAAGAAGGTTGTCAGACGGGGGACCTTAAGCCCTGAGAATTCATGAAGACTCCAGATATCTAGGCAGGCAGCCTAGGGAAGAGGCCAGAACAGCAGGGCCTTTTATTTCAAGGCCATCCTCTGGCTGCCTCTGGAGTGGGGTGTGTGCAGCATGGAGGGCAGCAACTGCAGATGTGACCTGTAGATACGGGGCTCAAGGAAGATAGCATATGTGGTCATAGGACCCCAGCCCTTTTTTCTCTACCCAGTTCCAAGTTTAAGCCAGTGCCTCCCGCAGGCAAGAGAGCAATAAGTCTTTCCTGGAGAGACTGAACCTGCAGGTAGGAGACCCACAGACACTGCCATTCCACTTAGGGGTGCTACTTTCTCCAGGGCAGCCTGACTTCAGAACCTCCTTATCTGATCCAGGCAGGAACAGGAAGTGGCAATCTCTGTGAGCCCACATGGGACCTTCTCCAATGAGATGTGACTTCCCCCTCTGCCCTATCCTGCCTGCACTCTTCCGCTTTCACGGAGACTGACCCTGACATGTACCTTTTACTCCAACCTCAATTTCAGCATCAGCTTCCAGAATATTCCAGTTACAGATGGACCAGGAGAGAAAATGAGGGGTGTGGTAGCAAACACCA